GGTAGGATGATTGGGCTCGTAGTATGTAGGCATTCCAACCCGATGGTTGAGGGCCAGGGGTATTCCAACCGGAAGGTTGATTGGACCCATAGTATGTTGTTTTTTGTTGCATGCGTATGCTTATGTGTGTATGGGTACTTTGGGGGAACTCACTAAGCTTTCGGGCTTACAATTGCAGTTTATTGTTTCAGGTACTTCAGGAGATCGTGGCCAGGCGAAGGCGTGATCGTACCGCTCCTCATGTTTTATGATTTATGTGATATGGTTCTGGGGGATACTCTGATGTTTAAACTATTTTGAAAACAATATGTATGAACTTAATGGTTTTTGAATGAAATAAAATGTTTTAATTTGGCTCAATTTTTATGGGTGTTACATGAAGAACGCCGAAATCCGAGTTATAACGAAGAAGTTATGACCTGTCGAAGTTTCGCGACGGAACTGGCACGACACAGCGCGATGTAAAGAGTGAATTTACGATGGAGCGATATTTAACCGTAGTGATCAAAACGAAAGTCGTAGAATACGTTAAACCAAGAGCGTGCATAAAAAGAACGTCCAAATCTGACTTCGTATGAGGAAGTTATGATTTTTCTAAGTTTCGACTTAGCGGTATGCAGCCCGAAACTCGAATATGAGATCGAGTGATATTGAGCCAAAACTTTCTAAACGAGAGTCGAAGATCTCGTCGATAGTAGTCGAACGGAAGAAAGACAGACGAAAACGGACGTTAGACGAAGGAGTTATGAATTTCTAACAGAGTTTTCCTGTCCCGGCCTACTAAAAATAATATAATAAAAATAAATTCAAAATTAGCCGACGGAGTCTAAACGAGAGTTGTAGAGCATAATCACACCTACGCGTGCATATAAAGAACGTCAAAAACGGAGCTCGTATGCGAAAGATATGAATTTCTGAAGTTCGGGGCGTGAACCCCAAGGCTGTGTCAGGCTCACGAGGTGAGCATTAGTGGCTCACGAGGTGAACAGATGGTGGACGTCTTTCAGGGCAAGTGGCCATGACGAACGTAATGACATATCGAGCTCACGAGGTGAGCATATGTGGCTCACGAGGTGAACCTAGTTTGTTAGCCCTATAAATAGAATTCGAAGGGCAGCCGATTTTGGTTGCTACTTTCTTACTCTCCCACTCCCGATACTCTCTCTAAGCCCTATTTTAACCCTCTGAAGCCCCGATATCATTCCCGAGACCCGAAGCAAGTCCCGAAGCCCAAAGATCCCAAGAAGTAAAGTTTCCCGAGCCGAAACTCTGCCCGCAAGAAGCCCGGTTTTCAAGGAAGCATCCCGGTTTCACCGAAGAATACTACTTCTACAAGCCGTAGTGCTGTCCGATCGTCTTCTGATTAAGTGAGTGTATAATTCCCTTTCATATACCCGATAATAATACAACTATTGAACGTATTAGATATATGATATGAGTCAGTATGTAGTTACTTTCTTCTAACACATAGATATAAAGTATTTGCTATGAAATACGTGCTATGTGTTTATACATTGTTTGTTACTTGAGATGGATGTTGAATGAATGTTTTATATACAGGTTTTAAACTGTATATGTATTTTATATCTACGAATATGACGGGTAAAACATGGGTAGATAAGTGATGTGGTATGAAAGATGTTATAGATAATCCTGGCAGATGCGCCTAGTACAGAGTGTCATAATCCTAGCAGATGCGCTTAAAAAGTGAATGTCATAATCCTGGTAGATGCGCCTAAAGGATAGTGTCGGCAGATGCACCTAGAATAGTGAATGTTATGATCCTGGTAGATGCGCCTAAAGGATAGTGTCGGCAGATGCGCCAAATAGAGAATGTCATAATACTAGCAGATGCGCTTATAGGATAATACTGGCAGATGCGCTTATAGGATAAGGTCGGCAGATGCGCCAAATAGAGAATGTCATAATACTAGCAGATGCGCTTAAGAATAATACTGGCAGATGCACCAAATAGAGAATGTCATAATATTAGCAGATGCGCTTAAGAATAATATTGGTAGATGCACCAAATATAGAATGCCATAATCCTAGAAGATGTGCTTAAAAAGTGAATGTCATAATCCTGGTAGATGCGCCTAAAGGATAGTGTCGGCAGATGCGCCTAGAATAGTGAATGTTATGATTCTGGTAGATGCGCCTAAAGGATAGTGTCGGTAGATGCACCAAATAGTGAATGTCATAATCTTAGCAGCTGCGCTTATAGGATAGTATCGGTAGCTGTGCCTAAATGATAATATTAGCAGATGCGCCTAATAGATATCATTGGCAGTCGCGCCTTAAGTAACAATGGAATTTGTGTCTATTCCTTAAAGTCAATCTTTAGGAATTAATGAATGAATGAATGAATGGTAGGTGATTCTTAGGGTAAATCCTTAAGAAATAAAGGAGACAATGGGGGTGGGTAATTGGGTTGATTGTTTGATGATTAAATATAATATAATATCTTATTGTGGGTTGAAAACCCTATATGCTCACCAGGCTCCCAAGCCTGACCCACTCAGTTTTCTTTGTATTACAGGTAATGACACAAGAGTATAAGTTGATTGACCTGACGAGAGATTTTGGATAATAGACCAGTAGTTGTAAATAACTATTGTAAGGTCTGTAAGTTCGGTTTATGCTTTTGGTCTGTATCGGAACATGACATCCCGAGGTTTTATTATTTAAATGAAAATACATTCTCTTTGAGAAATGTTTGATAAATGGTTATCATATTTTGTTTTTGGGACAAATTCCGCAACTGTTTTCTTTAAAAAGATTACTCTGATTTTAAAACAAATCGGTCTTTTCTGGCCGTGAAATTGGGGATGTCACAGTTGGTATCAGAGCATTAGTTTAAGTGAACTAGGAAATTGTAGGAAATTTCTAGACTTAAACTTAGAATGCTAAGCAAGGATTGTGAGGAGTGTGTGAAATAAATTTAGGTAGTACACCTAAATAGACACAAGCACTAAGCTTATTTAGGAAAATGCCAAACATGCTTTTATGTGCTAAATGGTTTGTGATATGCGTTATGTGATTGGATCTATGGTCTGTTGCCGACAGGATCTGGAAATTTTATGTGTTCAGATTTCTAAATGTTTAATTACGGTATTAGAACTGGTATGTAACTTTTCGGAGTAATAAGGAGTATTACACGTCTAGAATCTTCTCTAGCTATATTCTCGTCTTGATGCGCTCAACGCATGCTTCCGTGAAGGCTTGTAACAAATTGAGTAAACGGAGGAAACGAGGAGGCTTGCAATAGTGAATGACGCTTATTGGAAGATATCGTAAGAGAGGTATCTTGTCTTTAGAATGTGTCTAATAAATAATACGTCTAGTACGGGGGGAGTACACTTTCGATTAGCAGAAGGAAAGAACTTTTGGTATAATCCATGAAATTGTCCTATCATTTGGTGTTTCCACCACCAACCGAGTTGAAGCAGGATTGATGATCGAAGATATGCATGGAAGAAGTCCTAGTAGAGTCTAGGGAAAATTTTGTGATTATTTGGACACATTCGTATGTGTTAAATTGTTTTGTGATTTTAGGACTTGGGACTGCGAGACAATACTTGGGACGAGTATGAGTAGGTGTGAATGGTAGTAGAGATCTATACTACCGGAAGCACAGGACTCGCACTTGGATCAGGGAAAGTCGCAAGGTTACCAAGAAGCTAATAATTGATCCGTTTTATTCATGTATGTCATTACCTTTGTTTCGGTAATGACTAGTAAGATGGTTGTTATTCCGACCCTAGTGGTCATATCTAATTGAGTCCGACTACGATGACTTTGTTACGTGGTTCCGAGAACCAAGTTCGATGTGGCATCTGACTGAGGTCAGAAGATTGAAATCAATGCGATCAATAGCATCGCGCTCGATGTTAAATAGGTTCGTAGCTAGAAATGCTACAAGTTAAAATGTGATTATAGCACATTAGAATATGAAGGAAGGTATATTCCATTCTGGAATTTGACTCTAAGAGACCCGAGTCTAAACGATGCATCATACGATGAGAGGTCATTAGAACATGACCCATCGGTCTGTTACAATAGATAAGGAGAAGTACTTATCCTAAGAAGAAGAAGGAGTCCTCAATAAGGATTCATTTTGTAACTCGAAGGTTACGATTGAAAGTCCAACATAGTACGAAGAGCAGATGCAAGATTTAGCATCACGGTGATTACTTAGGATGGAAGGATGACGTATGGAATCATTATACAAGCCCTATTTCGTTGATGATTTCGGGACGTAATCATCCTAAGGGGGAGATAATTGTAACGCCAGTAGATCAGGGCTAGTAAATTGAGAGACAATGAGCGTATAAATGACCTTTTGATGGAAGATTATTTTGAAGGAATAATCTTAACTAAGTTGTAGTATATGTTACAAGGATTTCGTACATATAAAGAACGCCGAAATCCGAGTTATAACGAAGAAGTTATGACCTGTCAAAGTTTCGCAACGGAACCGGCACGACACAGCGCGACATAAATAGTGAATTTACGATGGAGCGATATTTAGCCTTAGTGATCTAAACAAAAGTTGTAGAATACGTTAAACCGAGAGCGTGCATAAAAAGAACGTCCAAATATGACTTCGTATAAGGAAGTTATGATTTTTCTAAGTTTCGACTTAGCGGTATGCAGCCCGAAACTCGAATATGAGATCGAGTGATATTGAGCCAAAACTTTCTAAATGAGAGTCGAAGATCTCGTCGATAGTAGTCCAACGGAAGAAAGACAAACGAAAACGGACGTTAGACGAAGGAGTTATGAATTTCTAACGGAGTTTTCCTGTCCCGGCCTACTAAAAATAATATAATAAAAATAAAGTCAAAATTAGCCGACGGAGTCTAAACGAGAGTTGTAGAGCATAATCACACCTACGCGTGCATATAAAGAACGTCGAAAACGGAGCTCATATGCGAAAGATATGAATTTCTGAAGTTCGGGGCGTGAACCCCAAGGCTGTGTCAGGCTTAGGGGTGTTCATGGTCCGGTTTGAAACCGTGAAACCGGTCAAACCGGTCATCGGTTTGGTTTTACGGTTTGTATTTTTCTTTACGGTTTGGCTTGCGGTTTTGAACTTTTCAAACCGTATTGAACGGTTTGGCTTACGGTTTTTAAGATTTCAATCCGTATAAAAACCGGACCGGACCGTAGGATTTGTATATATATTAATTATTTTTTTTATATATAATTAATTTTTATTGTATTATATATTAATTTTTATATACAAATAATAAATTAAAAAACCCACATTATATTGAATTATTACAGCCCAATATTGAACGGGGCCAGTAGTCCACCTCCAGGCTCCAGCTCCAAGCAATCGTTCAATGGTGATTCACTGATTCAACTTGCCCTAATCGACTAATCGAGTAATCGCAAATCGCAAAGAGCCAAATACGCAGACTCGGTTTCCACTTTCCAGTTGCCACACCAGTGCACCACTCGTTTTCCCTCCGAGGCTCCGACTTGCAGGCCAACAGCTCGTCGCCTACCCTACAGCAGCTCCGATTCTACCTCTCGTTTCTCTATCGTTGGCTACTTGGTTGGATTGTTACTCCGATAAGGTATGTTGTGTTCTTAATCAACTGAACTGATTTGTTTATCATCCATCTACACCTGATTTCTATCCATCCATCACCTCTCCTATCATTGTGCGTTTGATTTTTTTTAACAGAAGCCAACATCGGACGAAACAAAAGTAGAAAGTAGTTGTTGATTTTTTATTTCTTTCTAAATCTGTTGCTAACTGCTTGGCTCCGACTACAGGCCTCCCCTACAGCTCCGATTGTTGCTCCGATAAGGTCCGTTTGGCGATTCTAGCTCCGATAGTGCGTTTGATTTTTTTTAACAGTAGCAAACATCGGATGAAACCTGTTGATTTTTTATTTATTTCTAAAACCTGTTGCTAACTGCTAAGACTCATCATCTCTTAATCTTTTCTTTCAGGTCCTTACATGTGCGTTTGATTTTTTTTTTAACAGAAGCAAATATAGGACGAAACTTGTTGATTTTTTATTTCTTTCTAAACCTGTTGCTAACTTCTAAGACTCATCATCTCTTAATCTGATTTCAGTGAGTCCACAATTCTGAATTATGCTTGCACTTTTTTCTTTCAGGTCCTTACATGGATAAAGATAACATCAATATTCCAACTAGTGAACCTGTGAACATCATTGATGATGATGATGATATGGAAGAGATTGATGTAGATGATGATGTTAATGTGGAGCAAAATGGAGGTGCTACTGATAAGAACCAAGGAAGGGGACGAAAACAGTCTATTGTTTGGAAACACTTCAACAAACCAGATCCAGTTCCACCTGAAGGAGCACGCACCGCATGTATTCACTGTAAGAAAAGCTATGTGTATGAACCAAGTCAGAATGGCACTAGTGCTATGTTAAACCATTTGAGAAAGTTATGCAAGTTTGATCCACTTAAATGTCAAGTAGATAAAAAACAAACAACTATAAATTTTGTTAGAAAGGGTACGGATGGAAAGTTACAATGTGGTCGTTTTACAAAGGAATTGGGTAAACAAGCTCTTGCTAAAATGATTATTATTGATGAACTACCATTTAGCTTTGTTGAAAAAGAAGGTTTTCGTTATTTTTGTAGTGTAGTTCGACCCGAGCTAGAGTTACCGAGTCGGATTACAATTGCTAGAGATATCTTATCATTATATGTGGATGAAAAGAATAAGTTGAAAGAGATTTTATGAAAATCTTCACAATCTGTTTGTCTTACAACTGATGCATGGACTTCATGTCAAAACATCAATTATATGGTTTTAACAGTCCATTACATTGATGGAGAATGGAATTTGCAAAAAAGGATTTTGAATTTTGAAGTTATTTCGAATCATAAGGGTGACACAATTGGTAAAATGGTTGAGAGTTGTCTAATTACATGGGGTATTGAGAAGGTTTTTACAATCACCGTGGATAATGCGAGCTCTAATGATACAACTATTTCCTTTCTAAAAAAGAAAATACAAAATTGGGGACATGCGGTTTTAGATGCTCAATACTTGCATATGCGTTGTTGTGCTCATGTGTTAAACTTGATTGTGTGTGATGGGTTAAAAGATTATGATCCTGCAATTCAAGTTATTAGAAATGCTGTGAGGTATGTTAGATCCTCACCTTCAAGGTTGGCTAAGTTCAAGGAATGTGTGAAGATAGAAAAGTTAAATGTTACTGGAACTATATGTTTAGATGTTTCCACTAGGTGGAATTCAACTTACTTGATGTTGGAGTCAGCTTTGAAGTATAGAAAAGCATTTAATAGGTTGGAAGAAGATGGACACTATGCAAGGTTTTTTAATGTGGGTCCTAGTAGCTTGTTGAATGAAGTAGATGCAAAGAAAAAGTATGATGTCACTAGAGTCGGGCCACCTAGTGATATTGATTGGGATGTTGCACAAGAATTTATGGTTTTTCTTAAGGTTTTTTATGAAGTGACAAATCGGTTTTCAGGGTCTTTGTATGTAATTTCGAGTGCTTACTTTCATGATATGTGTTCATTGCATAGCCATATTGATGAATGCATTGAAAGTGATGATTGGCGGGTGAGTTCGATGGCTATGAATATGAAGGCAAAGTATGATAAATATTGGGGAAATGCAGAAAAGATGAATCCTTTATTGTATGTAGCAGTTGTTCTTGATCCTCGACATAAGTTAAAATATGTCAATTGGAGTTTGGAAGAAATGTACCCTATTGGTGATATTGCATGTGACTTGAAAAAGAAGTTAAAAGCCACTTTGACTCGACTTTATGACTTTTATTTGGAAAAAGATCCTATGCATGCCAGAAGTTCTTCTTCAAACAAGAATCATAACAAAAGAAAAGTTAATGAGAATCTTAGCATACAAGAGAAGCGTATGCTAAAATATAAGGCACATTTGGAAGATGAAAAAACAGGAGAAGTGAGTGAGCTTGAAAGATATTTGTCAGATAACCAAGAGCCAAGCTATGAGTCATTTGACTTGTTGGATTGGTGGAAGACAAATGGAGCAAAATATAAGATTTTAGGAAAAATTGCACGGGATGTCTTGGCTGTTCCAGTTTCCACAGTTGCGTCGGAATCCGCATTTAGCACCGGGGGTAGAGTTTTGGATTCATTTAGGAGTAGTCTTTCTCCTAAAATAGTGCAAGCGCTTATATGCACACAAAATTGGATTCGGGGTGTGTTTAACAAAAATACAAAAGTTGGTTATGAAGATGTGTTGAAAGAAATTGAAGACCTTGATGAAATTGAAAATGGTAAGTTTTAAATTTTCAAAAGTTATATATTTTCTCCTACTTATTATTTCTAAATTCTAACAAAATATAACTTGTATTTTAGATTTTGCAAGCAAACTTAATATTTGCACCGACAATATCGAATGAAAGGTACATTTCTTCTCTTGGATTTATATTGAATTTTTGGTGTGATGTTTTAATATTGACTTTTTTGGACAGCAAAAGCTTATGAATTGGATAGAATTTTGGGAGTGGATAGCATTTTGGAAGTGATCTTGCTGATAATGCTTTTTGGATAACAGTTTTGCTGTTTTGGACAACTTAGTAGGATGTGTGTATTAGTCTAATATTTGATGTAATGGAACAATATTTGATATTTTCATTTACTGCTTTTTATTTGCTGTTTTGGACAACTTTTTTGGTAGTTTTCTTGCTGTTTTTGACAATTTTACTATTGCAGTATTTTCAACAAACAGTGCAGTTTTTTTTTTTACTAAATTAGGCAGAATTTTGAATGTTTTAATACCTTAAACGGTGCAGTTTTTTTATTTAACTGTTTTAATACCTTTAATAGTGCAATTTTTTTATTGTTTTAATACCTCTAATATTGTAGCTTTAATATTACGTAGAATTTTTACTGTTTTAATACATGTAATAGTGCAGTTTTTTTTTACTAAATTAGTTTAATGGACTCGACTAAAATGGGCCTAAAAAGCCCAAACCGTGAAACCAAACTGGAGCCAAACCGTTAGTAACGGTTTGGTTTGGTTCGGTTTTAAATTTTCAATGGTTCGACTTTGGTTTTTGCTTGACAAAAACTGTTAGTAACGGTTTGGCTCTGGTTTGACCTAAAAACCGAAAAAACCGGACCGTGAACACCCCTAGTCAGGCTCACAAGGTGAGCATTAGTGACTCACGAGGTGAACAGATGGTGGACGTCTTCCAGGGCAAGTGGCCATGACGAACGCAATGACATATCGAGCTCACGAGGTGAGCATATGTGGCTCACGAGGTGAACCTAGTTTTTTAGCCCTATAAATAGAATTCGAAGGGCAGCCGATTTAGGTTGCTACTTTCTTACTCTCCCACTCCCGATACTCTCTCTAAGCCCTATTTTAACCCCCCGAAGCCCCGGTATCATTCCCGAGACCCGAAGCAAGTCCCGAAGCCCGAAGATCCCGAGAAGTAAAGTTTCCCGAGCCGAAACTCTGCCCGCAAGAAGCCCGGTTTTCAAGGAAGCATCCCGGTTTCACCGAAAAATACTACTTCTACAAGCCGTAGTGCTGTCCGATCGTCTTCTGATCAAGTGAGTGTATAATTCCCTTTCATATACCCGATAATAATACAACTATTGAACGTATTAGATATATGATATGATTCAGTGTGTAGTTACTTTCTTCTAACACATAGATATAAAGTATTTGCTATGAAATATGTGCTATGTGTTTATACATTGTTTGTTACTTGAGATGGATGTTGAATGAATGTTTTATATACAGGTTTTAAACTGTATATGTATTTTATATCTACGAATATGACGGGTAAAACATGGGTAGATAAGTGATGTGGTATGAAAGATGTTATAGATAATCCTGGCAGATGCGCCTAGTACAGAGTGTCATAATCCTAGCAGATGCGCTTAAAAAGTGAATGTCTTAATCCTGGTAGATGCGCCTAAAGGATAGTGTCGGCAGATGCACCTAGAATAGTGAATGTTATGATCCTGGTAGATGCGCCTAAAGGATAGTGTCGGCAGATGCACCAAATAGAGAATGTCATAATACTAGCAGATGCGCTTATAGGATAATACTGGCAGATGCGCTTATAGGATAAGGTCGGCAGATGTGCCAAATAGAGAATGTCATAATACTAGCAGATGCGCTTAAGAATAATACTGGCAGATGCACCAAATAGAGAATGTCATAATACTAGCAGATGCGCTTAAGAATAATATTGGTAGATGCACCAAATATAGAATGCCATAATCCTAGCAGATGCGCTTAAAAAGTGAATGTCATAATCCTGGTAGATGCGCCTAAAGGATAGTGTCGGCAGATGCGCCTAGAATAGTGAATGTTATGATCCTGGTAGATGCGCCTAAAGGATAGTGTCGGTAGATGCACCAAATAGTGAATGTCATAATCTTAGCAGCTGCGCTTATAGGATAGTATCGGTAGCTGCTCCTAAATGATAATATTAGCAGATGCGCCTAATAGATATCATTGGCAGCCGCGCCTTAAGTAACAATGGAATTTGTGTCTATTCCTTAAAGTCAATCTTTAGGAATTAATGAATGAATGAATGGTAGGTGATTCTTAGGGTAAATCCTTAAGAAATAAAGGAGACAATGGGGATGGGTAATTGGGTTGATTGTTTGATGATTAAATATAATATAATATCTTATTGTGGGTTGAAAACCCTATATGCTCACCAGGCTCCCAAGCCTGACCCACTCAGTTTTCTTTTTATTACAGGTAATGACACAAGAGTATAAGTTGATTGACCTGACGAGAGATTTTGGATAATAGACCAGTAGTTGTAAATAACTATTGTAAGGTCTGTAAGTTCGGTTTATGCTTTTGGTCTGTATCGGAACATGACATCCCGAGGTTTTATTATTTAAATGAAAATACATTCTCTTTGAGAAATGTTTGAAATACTCAATCAGGGTTATAAAACATACCTTTGATTGTTATATAGCAATAACCAAATCCTTAGTGTTGTCGAGACTTTGAGAACGAGCATCACAATTGTCACGCCTCTAATGGCTCACACCCAACACGAGCAATAGAAGAATTATTGAGAAGGAGGTGAGAGGATCAAACTTTCGGCTTGGTCTTCCAAAGAACAACATGGTCGAAATACATAGAGTTATGCGCTATTTATGGCGCAGTGAGGAAATCCTAGATAAGCTCAAATTCAAGATTATCTTAAACCTGGTAATTATCTACTTTCTTGATTATCCATTAGGGATTATTCTAGAAACCCTTATGATCTAAGAAAACCGTCCATACTCTATGGAGGGTTCTAGATTGGCTCTTGCTCAACTATTGAACAATTGCAATTAAGTCCCTACACTTTTAATTAATCCTTTAATCCCAAAATTAATTCCAATTAATTTCTGATTAAATATTAATTAAATATTACTATTTCTAATTAATATATTATTCTCATAATATATTAACAAATTATTCATTTCAATTTATAATCAAATAATAAATCAACCCCCTTCTCCAAAATCATCTTTCCAGTTGCTAGTTTTGAGGGCAACCCAAAAGGACTGTGTTACTATCAATTTAAGTAGATACAAATTATAGTTATGGGCATAGACACCTAATCCAACAATTTCTTACCTAATAACCAATGCAAGGTAAAGACATATATAAAATAACAAAACCTATTTTTACAGAGGATATTTGGCTACCGTTTTTTGTCGTCACACTACTTGTCACTTTTTTGTTTTTTATGTAAAATCGATGTTAATGTGTACAGTCTGATTTGCAATGGTGACTCATTCTCAGTAAAATGTCATGGAAACAATCATATAAATTACTATTTGACCTTTAGTGATGAGAAATATGAAAACCATGACCACCCAGTTTTAAAAAACAGACGCCATAGGCCAGTTTTCTACTAGTGATATATATATATATATATATATATATATATATATATATATATATATATATATATATATAGTTTAAATTTTACTATAAATTAACACTATCATTTGTCATTTTAAAACACAAAAAAATCCCCAAACACTCTATATACTTTACATAATATTATTTAAAAATGTCTTCATCGTCATCCACTTCGTCCGACACATTGGTGTTACAAGAAATGCGGTTTATCGGGTACGTCATGCAAACAACACTTGCTTATTTACAAGAAAATGAAGACGAAAGTTCACACCCAAAAATTAGAAATCCTCCTTTCAGACTTTGGTTCCATATGAAGAAGGTATTATTTTTACATGTTGATGGTATAAAAAATCGATTTCCATATTTTCGGCAGCAGATTGATGGAAGAGTTAAGAAAGGCTTCTCCAGAATTCAAAAATTTACAAATGCAATTAGTGTACTGGCATTTGGCATGGAACTGGATACATGGGATGAGTATTTGAGGATGTTAGAGTGAACGACGCGGGAATGTTTATATAAGTTTGTTAAAGTTGTGATTATCCTCTATCGTGGTCACTATTCACACAACCCTACAATTAGCGACATCCAACAACTATATACAACATATGAAAACAAGCATAGATTCCCTAGAATGCTTGGTAGTATTGATTGTATGCATTTGGGGTACTGAATGTGCCCTAATGCGTGGCATAGTTACTTTGTGTGGGGTGATCAAAAGCAACCAACAATAAGTTTAGAAGTAGTGGTGTCGTATGACCTTTGGATATGGCATACATTTTTTGGTCCATCGGGTGCCAACAATGCCATCAATGTTCTACAACATTCATCGATATTCAACGACATCTACCATGAAAATCGTATGGTGTTCCATTTCAAGAAAATAAGACATCAGATAAACATAGGTATTATATTACTGATGAGATATATCCCCAGTTAGTATTATTTGTGAAATCATTCTCATGTCCAAATGATGAAAAAAGAATAAAGTTTAAGTCCACATAAGAATCTGCTAGGAAGGATATTGAGCAGTTGTTTGGTGTTCTAAAGAGACGTTGGTAGATACTTGCAGTACCGGTATGATCTATGATGTGCAAATGAATAAGTAGTCTGATGTATGCATGTATCATATTGCATAGTATGATTATATGAGATGAGCGGAATGTGATTTTCCACTACAATAAAAATAAGAATTTACCAAATTTCGGAGGAGTTTGTATTGGTATGTAGACATACATGGTGAACAGAGGGGAAGTATACGACCGAGTTAGACACCACAACCTTTGTGTTGAGTTGGTCGACCACATCTTCAATGCTCGAGTGAATCTCGATGTCGACGATTTTGATGAAGACGAGTTGTTCAACAATACACATGATGAATCAAAAATGTTTGAAGAAATTCGGGAGTGGATTATGATGACTTGGCGAACGAAGGTGATTAGACATCATGTATTATTCTACTATGTTTTGATTATGTATTTTTATTTATGTTTTAATTTAGTATGTAGTTTTTTAATTAATGAAGTATTTTCATTTTATTAATTTTATATAATTACGATTTATTAAATTAAAAAAATATATAAAAAAAAGTGTGGTAAACCCACCAGTTTTGTGGGGTAATGAAAAAAATGATACGACAATGATGTAACAGTGCAATAGTATGATAAAGTGTGGTATGAGACCCACCAATCTTAATTTCATTTGAATAATTGAATTTATTTTTGAAATATGCTTCTGGATGTCCAAAATATTTATGGCTTGTTAATTATGGTCGAATGGGTATATTATTCGTTTACATAATTTAGTAATTAATTTACTTAATGAGATATATAACTCTTT